CTATTTCACATTTGGTGAGTTTTGAGAGTTTGTGGGTTTTGAGGAATTTCTCCATTTCATGTACGTTGTCAGATTTGTTGTGTAGAGTTCATAGTATTATTGCCTTCTTTACTCTTTTTTTTTTAACATCATTATACAATTTTTTTTAACTGATCATGAATATTCATGGGGTACAAAGCTGACCGTCACTGTGTCCAAGATGTGATGATTAGATCAATACTATCAGCATGCCTATTACTACAAATTGCAATTATTCCCCATTCCCCCCACCTACCTCTCCCTGGCCTTCCCTTCTCCCCGCCCTCCAGCCACTGCAACCCTAGGTATGTTCTCTCCCTTGTTTACTCTTAACATCTGAGATGTTTGTAATGATATTTCTGCTTGCATTTTTGATATGTCTTGATTTCTGCCCCCTGTCTTTTTCGCTCTTTAGCAGTTGTGTCAGATGTTTAGCAGTTTTCAAAGAATCTGTTTTTAGTTTCATTGATTTCTCTGTTTTTTGATTTTCATTTTTATTAATTTCTGTTACTTACTATTTTCTTCTTTTTGCCTATTCTATGTTTATTTTGCTTCAATTGTCAATTTGACACCTTTGTTATAAGTATTTCATACCATAATATTCCCTTTAAGTACTTTGTTAATTGCATTCTACGGATTTTGGTATGTGGTGTCTCCATTTTCTTTCATTTCAAAATGTTTTCTTGTTTACCTTGAGACTTCCTCTTCTGACCCATGGATGTTTTAAAAATTTGCTGTTTACTTTTCAAGTGTTTGGAGGTTATCATTCTGTTATTGATTTCTAGTTAAATTCCATTATGTTCAGAGAGCGTACTTTCAATTCTCTTAAATTGAACTTCTCAAATCTTCAGGTTCATGTCTCTCACCAAATTTGGGATGTATTTATCCATTATTTCTTCAAATATTTTTTTGTGTCCCACACCCTACTTTCTACAATTTCAGTGACATGAGTGTTAGATCTTTTGTTATCATCCCCAAAGATCCCTGCGCAGGCTCTGTTAATTTTTTTTGTCTGTTTTTTTCCCTTCATTGTTCAGATTGATTAATTTCTGTTGATCTGTCTTCAAGTTCACTTTGTCATCTTGAATGCTAGTATGTAGTGCATCTAGTGCATTTAAAAATTTTGGCTACTGGATCTTTTGAGTTCTAAAATTTGTATTTGTTTGCTATTATTTGATATTTATATTAGCATATTGCCTCTCCTCTCTGCTCAAAGTCTTAATGTTCATGTAACATCACTAATAAAAATGTAATTTATCTTTGCTGGAAATTTGGCAAACTCTTAGTCTTCAGTGTCAATCAGCTTTACTTGTTGGGTTTTTCTAAATACATATTTCTGGGCCCCGTCTCTAGAGATTCTGATTCAATCTGATTCATATCAACAGGTATGTGATAAAATAAATAAAGAAGAAAATAACCTAAATGTGCATTTTCTCTATTATAGCACTCCTGTCTCAATGCAGGATGCTATCCATGGTCTGGGAGATTCAGAACAGATATGTCTGAGGTACATTGTGATATTAGTGTTCCTTGAAGATTGCTAGTTCAGTGTGTGTCCTGAGACAGCTAGGGTACCATCTGAACACACAGGATGTTGAACCATAGTTGTGCTACCTTGGTCAGGGACTCAGTCCCTCACCATCATCCTAGTCATATTCTGTACTGGTTCATCTTTCTTGAGATTGTCTGTATGAATCATTGAACATGTGGTTTCTTATTCCTAAGTCAAGGAGTAGAACTTAAAATGATCATGTCATTTTCTTTATCATGTTTAAGGACGAAATGTTTAATTTTTTTCAGCCTTTTTTATTGAGGCCTAACATACATCAGTGAAGTGCTTAAGATGTACCATTCTTAAGTGTATAGCTTGAACTTTTTCTATATATGGTTATGCAGCTATCATACAGTCAAGACATAGAACATTTCCAGCTTCCTAATAGTTTCCCTAATGTTCTTTCCGAGTCAGTAACTCCCTTCCCCTGAGTCAACCACTGTTCTTCTGATTTCTAGCACCATAGGTTAGTTTTGCCTGTTCTCAGACTTCATGTAAATGGAGTCATGCAATACGTATTCTCATGTATCTGGTATTTTTAATCAAATGATTTGTGTGGCAAAGCTTTGTTGAGTTATTTAATATTATTGTTTTTGACTCCTTTATACTCAAAACACATCTAAACAAAGCAGATTCAATTGACTTTTATTCTACATTTTTCTTACATGAGGTAATCTTAAAATTCTTTAAGAAATTTCCCATATCATTTTTCCCTCTCTAAAATGTTCAGTGGCTTTCTGCTTCATCCACTTACATAGTGTGTGTTATTTATTTCCACAGGTTATTCTTGCCTGGGCTCCCTTTTATTCTCTTCCACATTTCCTTCTACCAGTGTGTATTAGTCCTTTTTGTGTTGCTATAACAAGATAACTGAAACTGGGTGATTTATAAAGAAAATGAAATTTATTGCTTACAGTTTCTGAGGCTGAGAAGTCCAAAGTCCATCTGGTGGTGGTGACAGTGACCCAGGGGTCTCATATTGCAAGATGGTGGAAGCAGAGAGAACAGAGAAAAACAGACTCTCCTCTTCTTTTAGAGCACTCAGAACCACACCCCTTACCACCATTTTTAATCCACTCATTTCTGCACTGTCCTACAATCTAATCACCTCTTCAAGGCTCCACCTTTCAGTTACCATAATAGGATTTCTCACCCTCTTAATAGTCACAGTGGGGGCTAAGTTTCTAATACATAAAACTTGGGAGACACAATTCAAGCATCAGTGAGTTTGGGGGGGACATAATTCAATCCACTACATTCTGCCCCTGGCCCTCCAAAACTCATGTCCTTTTCACATGCAAGTATGTTCATTTTGTCCCCAAAGTCTTAACTTGTTTCAACTCAAGAGTCCAAAGTTCAAAATCCCATCTGTGAAGTCAATACAAGTTATCTACTTCTAAAATACGATGGTGGGACAAAATAGGGTACATATTTCCATTTGAAAAGGGAGAAATAGGCCAAAAGAAAGGAGTAATAGGTCCCAAAAAGTCCAAAACCCAGCAGAGCAGGCATTAAATCTCAGTGCTGGTGAATCAGGCACCTTGACTCCATGTTTGATCTCCTTTGCATGCTGGTGTGGGGGTGAGTCCCCAAGTCCTTGGGTACTCCGCTCCTATGGCTTTCCTGATTATAGGCCACACTTCAGCTCTCCCAGGCTGGCATTCCACTCTGGTAGCTCCACAGGTCTGGGGTCTCTATGGTGGTCCTGCTCTCATGGCTCCACTAGGCATGGCACTGTTGGGGTTTCTCTGCTGCAACTCTGACCCCACGTTTCTGCTCATCATTGCTCTAGCAAAGACTATAGAGTGAATCCACCCCTGTGATAGATAGCTTCCTGGGCCCCCAAGCTTTTCCATACATCCTTTGAAATCTGGGTGGAGGCTCCCAAGCCTTCACAACTCTTGCATTCTGCGAACCTGCAGAGCTAACACCACGTGGATACCGCCAAGGCTTCTGGCTTGTATTTTCCAAAGCTGTACATCCAGCCACACCTGGGACCACATTAGCCATTGCTGGAGCAGCCAAAGCAGCTGGGGTGCTGGAAGCAGCTTCTCGAGGTGGCCCTGGGCATCAGGCCCATGGAGCTCACCTCAGGCCTGTTCCCCAAGACTGTTTTCACTCCCAGGGCCCTTGGGCCTGAAATGGAAGAGTTGGTCCTAGAGGCTTCTGCAATGCCTTCAGGTCCTTTTTCTCCTTCTCTTGATAATCCCTTTTCTATGTACTAATCTTCTTAGCTAATGGTCTCTGGGCTGCACCATTGCATGTTCTCTGCTTCTCTACCACATGGCCAGGCTGCAAATTTTCCAAATCTTTATGCTATGCTTCCCTTTTAAATTCTGGCTTTATGTTGTGCTTTTGTTGCCATAACTCATTGTAGGCTGTTGCAAGTAGCCATGAAGCTTCCTTAATGCTCTGCTGCTTAGAAATTTCTTCCACCATATACTCTGGTTCACAACTCCTAAATTCCAACTTCCACAAAGTCCTAGGTTATGGACAGAACGCAGCCAAATTCTTTGCCAGTTCACAGCAAGGGTGATCTGTGCCCCAGTTTCCAATAAACTCTCTCTTATTTTTATCTGAAACCTCCTTAGAATGATCTTTACAGTCCGTATTTCTATCAGCATTCTGCTCACCACCATTTAACCAGTCTCTTAAAAAGTTTCAAATCGTCTCTAAAAAGTTCCAAATCTTCCCTGGTTTTCTTGTCTTCTATACTTCCACCAGCATCTAGGCTTTTTCTAGCCTGTTCCTCCAAATACCTCCAAATTCCTCCACTCTCTCCTCAACACCCAGTTCCAAAGCTGCTTCCACATTTCCAAGTATCTGTTTTAAGCAACACCCCACTTATCTGGTACCTATTTTCTGTATTAGTCCATTTGTGTTTATAACAGAATACATGGAACTGAGTGATTTCTAAAGAAAAACGAAATTTATTGCTTACAGTTTCTGAGGCTGAGAAGTCCATCTGGTGGTGGCAGCAGTGACCCAGAGGTCTCACATTGCAAGATGGTGGAAGCAGAGAGAGCAGACAGAGAAAGACAGACTCTCCTCTTCTTTTAAAGCCCTCAGATCCATGCCCCTGACCACCATTTTTAATCCATTCACTGCTGCACAGTCCTACAATCCAAACACCTCTTCAAGGCTCCACCTTTCAGTTACCATAATTGAATTTCCCACCCTCTTAAGATTCACAGTGGGGGCTAAGTTTCTAATACATAAAACTTGGGAGACACAGTTCAAGCTTCAGGGAGTTTTGGGGGGACATAATTCAATCCACTACACAGTGCGTAGAGTTGAAAAGGATATTTCTAAAATCTTATCTCCTATTTGTTCTTCGCCATGCTAGCATTTGGTCTGGGGTGAATTAGGTTGAACTGAATGTCTACAGTTATTGTATTAATATTGTGTTTTTCTCCTCTTCTTTGGACAGCATGATGGAAGTGGTTCATTGCATGATGTTCAGCTATCATTGCCATCTAGTCCAGAACCAGAAGATCGTGATCAGATATATAAGGTATGACTAGGCAGTCATGCTGAATTGTTCAAAATTCTTTTTTGTTACTAAAATAATAAAGCAATAACAAAACATTGAATAACAAATGTATTAAAACCTAGAGCTTTGCTGTCTTGGGTATTAATCAGGTTTGCTCTTAATTTTTGCTGTTTTGGTAAGGTAAAATGATATCCCTGTGGTGCTTTAATTTGAATTTATCATTTGGGTAATCATTTGTCCCTGTATTACCACTGTGCAGGATTCTTTTTTTAAAGTCACTGTTTATAATATGAATAATAGTTTCAAAAACACGACTACCAATAAAAATTAAAATGATAATAGACACTTCTCATATATAATCACAACACTGAAGAAATATACTGAAAATGAGATGAATTTGCCTTTTTATGTTTGAAAATATAATTATTGAATCCAGATGTATTGTAGTGAATGTTTGAAAGTATACTTTTTATAATTTTCATTGTCTTTAGGTCTTTTAGTTTATGAAAGCTCTTTTCTTTTGCAACTGTTTATCTCTTAAGCACGTATTTCTTTCTTTTTTTGACTGGTAAGGGGATCACAACCCTCAATTTGGTGTCGTCTGCACCACGCTCAGCCAGTGAGTGCACTGGCCATCCCCGTATAGGATCCAAACCTGCTGCCTCGGCGCTACCAGCGCCACACTCTCCCGAGTGAGCCACGGGGCCAGACCAGCACGTATTTATTTCTTAAGCACACATAAATATTCTTAATTTATTTAATATTTCCTAGTAAAGTTATTGTTGGCTTTTACATCCTGTTTTCAGGATGTACTATTCAGTATTTGCTATTTGTCTGTAGTAACAAATAACCTCAAAACATTGGTGACTTAGAAAAATAAAAGTGAGTAGTCTCACTTAATGTTATGTATTTGCTGTAGATCAGCAGGGACCCAATTTCCTGTTATCTTTTTCATTCTCCAAACTGAAGGACCAGCCCCTATGGTGGGACATGTTATTGTGCCAAAGGGATTTGAACAGAACCACATGTGAATTCTGCTTGGATGTGGCCTGTGTCACTTCCAAAATAATTCTAGTGGCCAAGCCTGGTATTAGCAGAGCAGAGAAGTATAATTTTCTCATAGAATACAGAGTGACATATTGGGAACAATATGGTATACAAAGCAATCAAAATCAAAAAAATAGAGCATAGTAGTCACATGCAGTTATCTCATCTTGTCTTTTCAACTTGTTGCCTACCTGTCCTTGCCAAAATTACTTCCCATCTCTGGGCTTTTAGCGTACTGCCAGTATAATATTCTAAATCAGCAGGTCTATAGCAGGCCATCTTTTTTTTAAAAAAAGTTTTATATACACACCCAGTTGAGAACCATTGAATTAAATGATCTCTGGTGATCTCTCAGTTTTTTTTAACTTTTGTGACTCACATTTTAAAACTAAAGTTGACCTTTTTTCCTGAATTTTTTTTTTTGTGTGTGTGTGAAAACAGTCTTTTTTACATGTAAAGAAATTATTTTTAAAGAAAAAAATTTAATTCCAACTCCTTATACAACTCGTGTCTTCTTTTTTTTCTGTGTACCTTTCTAGTTAGTTACATACTTAATATTACATGACAGACATTGTTACGTGGTATTTATTCCCTACTCCTCTGTTTTCTTATTCAAGCTGAGATGCAATAGCTCGTGCTGTCTCTTCTCTCCAGTATCCTAGTCTCTCTTGCACAACAGTAAATCCCCAACTGCGCCACCTTCTCATCCAAGGTGGTTTAGCAGTACAGTTTCAAATGACACAAGTATGTTGACTTGTACCGTTATGAATTTAGGGTCTAAAATCCCCACTGGACCTGCCATGCCTTCAATCTGTCCTTTTATTTATCTCAGGACAGCTCTCTTTTCCATTCCCTTGATGAGCTATTCCAGACGTTGATCACTGTCAAGCCCCATACCCAGCCATGCTATTCAGCCTCTGCAGGTAGCCTTGTGTTCAGCAAGCAAAGATCTTCTGCTTCTCACCTTTCTGCCTTTAACCTAGCTGTATCTGTCTCATTCCCATCTACTTTGTTCCAGTTAGAGAGGAAAAGTGACCACTATGCTGTGGAAAACCACGCTTCCTTCTGTGTTCTTAACTGTCTTTTACTGCTCTTCTCTCATCTGTCTTTGGTGTGTTTCCTTTACTTTCTCTTCATCATCAGTTTGTAAATTTGTGTATCTCACCTGTCTTAAATTCAAATAAAGTTTTCTTTGACTCTCTTCAACCCCTTTCCAGTTGATGTGAAAATCTGGAAAAATGAAAATAACTACTGGTTTTAATGCTATGTACAGTTGGCATGGCCTTTGTCTTAAAAGCTTTATCCCTTGGCTTTTATGTCACTTCTCTCTGGAATCCCTCAGACCTCTCAATATTTTTTCCTCATTTCCTTTGTAGGCTTTTCTCTTCTTCTTCTTCTTATTTATTTATTTATTTATTTTAAATATGATTTAGGAATATTTACCTAATTACTACATTCAACAGATAATGATACAGTACAGTTAACTCAAACAAATACACTTAGAACAGGTTTAATTTCACAGCATCTAAAGTGCCCTCAGAGTGACTGAGGCACCGTTGTTCCTCCCACCCACATATGGGCTTACTGTTCTAGCAATTAAGCGCAGGGTACGTGCAAAGCAACACAACCAATTAGCATGGTCTTCCTCAGGTCAAGGCAGAGTGATGGAGTTTATGTTAAGCACTAGATCAAAAAGTTGGGGACAGGCTACTGCTAGTCGTAAAGTCAGCATCTTGGTTCCTCTTCTGTATATGTTAGATTATACTATTAGTCCAGTCCTTTTTGAACTTGTTGCTTTGATGATTTCATGTATGACATATATAGAGATGATATGTAAAATTTCTCTCTTTCATACTTGCTAATCCTGTTGCCCACCGGACATTTCTACTGTATGTCCCACCCATAGGTACCTCTAACAATATATTTAAAACTCACACATATTCCTTTTTGGACATATTTGTTCTCCTGTATTCTCCATTTTTCTTGGTAGCACGATTATTCATTGTGTTACTCAAGCTAGAAATATGAATGTCACTCTTAACTGCTCCTCTGTGCTCTTCTTTCACATGCAGCAAATTATGAAACTGCAAGTTTTTTGATCCCTTCTCCTCTTCTCCATCTTTATTATTGCTCTCTTGGGTCAGACTCTCATCTGGAGTATCACTATGTCTTGATATCAGGTTTCTAGCTCAGTTTTGTTGCTTTTGTCAAATTTGTCTTCCAAACAGCTGTCACAGCCATCTTAAATGAAAATCCGTCACATCCTGGCTAAGGCCATGCTTGATAGTCATGGCCTTCTGGTATCTGGTCCTTACCTATTTTTCTAGCCAGGTTGCTATGCGCTATTTATCATAGCCTTTGTGTGACCACATCACTGCTTATAGTTCTCTAAGGTGCTATGCTTGTCACTGCCTCTGTATTGTTGTATGACACTTAGAATTCCTTACCCTAAAATTCAAAGCCTACTACACTTATCTATCTTCAGAATCTTCTGCACATCCTTTAGGACACCGTTGGAGTCACCCATTTCCTAATGTGATCTCCTTTGCCTATCTTTATGCGTAATATCCTTAGAGCAGTGTCTGGCATATAGTAAATGCTGGCTGTTAACGTTTTTACCACATTGTATTTTGAGTTCATTTTCAGGTCCATTTCCTGTAACACTGACAGAACTTAGCCATGGCTACATGAATGATGGCTTCGTAGTATTCTATCAGATTGCTTCATTGTATTTCTGTTGTCCCCTTGTAGGGCAATTGTAAACTTGTAGACTTTAAGATAATGCCTTTTTGTAGGTTTTCTCATACTTAAGATCATTTCTCTGGCATAGTTTACTAGGAATGGGATGATGAATTAAAGAGAGCTAGTATTTTTATGACTCCTATGTGTATAGGTATAAATGTTTGTTTGGAAAGGTTAATTGCTGTGTCTGATTATGTACTGTATCATTTTTTTCTGCAGTCTTATTGATTACATTGGGTATTTCCTCCTAATCTAATAACTGTAAAACAATACCTTCATACTTTAATTCGTGTTTCTTCAACAAGTTAAATAGAACATTTCACCAGTTATATGTATGTTTGTGAGAACTGGCTATTTGTCTATTGGGACCTTGAAAATGATCTTATGTTTGGACAGGCTTTTAATATACTAGATATTATATCCTTTGCCATATTTGCATAGGTTTTCACCAGCTTTTAACTTTAATGTTAGTTGTATAGATGCTTTAAAATATGATATAATCAAATATATTTATCATTTCTTAATAGCTTCATTTGCTACATAGCTTGGAAATGTGTCTGTCTAAATGTATCCTTTGGAATGTATTTTTCACAATATGCAATCCCTCTTTTTTTGCCTTGATTTATGAATTTTGAACATTCCTAAACTCTTACTAAATTCAACTGGAGATCATTTTTTGTATATAATAAACAGTATTTCCCAGTTACATTATACATAATAGCGTTTAAAAAAATCTTTTTTCCCCATTGTTTGGGATGCTTATGTGACGTGTTAAAGCTTTTGTAAAATGTCTGTTTCTGATCTCTTGTTAAAGAGACTGAAAATTTTTTTGTTGTTGTTCCCATTGTATCTGATGGAGATGACATACTTTGCTGAGTAACAACACGTTATAATTATTTGCTTACATATTTTTTCTCTGGAAAGATATATCATTTTCACATATTCTTATTTCTTTGCTTATACTATTTCCTTGGTATATATTTCTGAATAATTGAGTAGCAGTATGCAGTATGGGCTAACCATACGACAATGATACTTTACGCTTTGGAAATGTAACCAGATTACTGCCTAATGTGACAGTAAGTTTCCATTTAATAGAATTAGACATTTCTCATAGATAAGTTGATAGGGTATTTTTTCTTTGATTCAGGCAGTACTCCTCAAGAAAGTGGCTCATGGAAAAGCAATCTCCCTTGATAACCTTCGGGCACATTTATCTTTTTGCTGAATTCTGAACCAGCTATGAAATGCCTCTGTGGGTTTAATTACACCATTTCCTCTGCTTGCCATGCCTTTTATTTTCTCCAACTGGCAACTCTTATGCATCCTTTGAAATCCAGCTGAAATTTCTCTTTTGTATATGATTTATTTTACTCTATGGCCTATGTCTCAGTTTCCTTCTATGTAAAAAGAACATAACTACCTACCTCAGGGGTGTAGTCACAATCAAATTTTTAAATTCGTGAGTTTCTGGCACCTAGTAAGTATTCAGTGAGTGTTAGCTGTTGCTGCTCTTATTGTTCATGGTTTACACGTCAGCTTCCGTGATGTCATGAAATCTTATGAGATTCTTTTTTAATAAATGTTCATCCTACATGAACAAATAGTTCATTCATTACTGGGTCTTCGTCATTGATTTAATGCTTCATATTAGGGTATTTTTAAGTACCTTGTCTTAAATTATTTTTAATATTTCAGAATGAAGATTTATTAAATGAAATAAAACAGCTTAAAGAGGAAATAAAGAAAAAAGATGAAAAAATCCAACTGTTAGAACATCAGCTTGTAAGTATTACAGTGTAGTATGTAAAGTGGAGGTGTTTCATACTGGGAAATATATGTTTTTTATAAAATGCTGAGCTGGAATTAGAGTTTGACTTTATATTTGGCTTTCAAAGTTGCACTATTGCATCTTTTTTAGATTATATGCACTCTAGTAGAAGTATGTGATTTAACTTTCAGTCTAAGTATTAAGTTTTCAATGTGAAAAAAATTGATTCATTTTTAGTGTACGCTGCTTGGGGGATTAAAATTCACCAATTAACATTCATTTTAAGGGTTTGGATCTCCATACCAACCAACTGCCAAAAAAAAAAAAAAAAGAAAGAAAAGAAAGAAAGAAAACTTTTATTGATGCAGGGTAAATTTGATTTTCCTTCAGATATGTTTAAAGAAATGAGTACTGGTGAACATTTTATCTTTCTGTGAGCAGAGCAGAATGAGACTGAGTACTCAGGCTTAGGTATCTTAGATTAAAGGGCATTCCAAGAAAATGTTTCTTCCCTATGGATGATATTGAGTGATCTCTCAGAGTCATGTTTGGATCTTCATAATTTTATAATTGTTATAGTTTGAAATGTTAGTCCCATATGAATTAATTTATAATTTGGTTTATAATAATATACAAGGCCAGGAGGAAAAGAACATAATGCCATAAAAATCTTAACAGTCTAAAGGAAATCTTTGTCAGAAGCATATTTTGGTATAGCAAAGCAATTTAGTCATATGAAATGTTAATCTCACTTAGGATATAAAGGATATAGTATACTGAACTTAGAGCCACTGAGACCAGATCATAGAGATCCAGCTCAAGAATAAATAAATAAATAGTTAGAACAGACAGTTCAGATATTATGATTAAAGGTACAAAGAAAATTTATGAATTTAAATAGAGAATAATCTTATATTACAAATTGAGGTCCTAGCAAATATAAAATTAAAAAGGAAAAGAATAAGAACTAATGTTTACGTTTCAAAGCTAAAGACAAGAATCCAGCCAACTTTCAGGGAGAAGAAAAAGACAGCATTAGGAAATTAAGTAAGCTTCAGTTTTTGCAAGAATCTATTACAAAGCACAAGAAGTTGTCGTGTCTAGTGTACATCAGAAAAAAGATTATGAACCTCATATTTTATACCCAGATAGGTTTTTATTTTATATATGAAGGTATATTCTCAGATCTTTAATGTCTTGAAAAATATGCCACCCACTTTTTTTTGTAAAAATTTCTTAAAAATGCTTTCCAAATACTTGAGAGATAAATCAAAAAATAACTCAAGAATTAAGAAGTAAAGATTAAAATGAATTAGTGGGAAATGGAAACTATTTTTAGAGAAACTAAGTGGGATAAACTGCTGAACCACTGATTGGAGAAAATTTACTTCTAATTATTTTATCTTATGTAATTATACATCATTTGAACGTTGGAATTTGTATTTATACATTTAATTTTTCTGAAATTAAAAAATTATTGTTAGTAAAAAAAATTTTTAATTGCTTTTAGTTTTTGAAAATACTTATTAAATAAGTTTGAGGAAGGAGATAATGAATATGCTAAAAGAAGTCATAAGTACTGAAATTTTATCTTTTACAAATGGGTATCCAAGTTATTCTTTATTTTTTAAAATACACTTAAATTATGATAATGTTTGTGAAGTGCTTTAAGATAACTATTAGTAGGTTTAAATAACGTATACTGCAAAAGATAAAAGTAATAAAAGCCATGTAATGTAGAAAAATACCAAGGAAAACTAAAAACAGCAAAACTAAGGCAACAGAAATTAGATGAAGTATGATAAATATAATGGTAAATGCAAATAGTCTTATTTCGTGGAAAGAATTTCATTGAGGATTTTAAGCAAAATCCAACAACTTGTTTTGTATAAAAGAAATTTAGCTGAAGTAAAATTGCTCAATAGGCTAAACATAAAAGGTTGGGGAGAAAAAATAAAATTATTCTCATCAAAAAAATGGGGTTGAAATATTAAAATTAGGAAAGTAAATTTAAGACTAAGTTAGGAAAAGAGATCACTATATTGACATATGGTTAATAAATAATGAAAGGTAAATCTTTTTATGCTGAAAATTTTTATTGAAGTGTTCTTTTAGCCTCACTATACAGCTTTAAAAAATAAGAGTAGGTTTCTTTATAGCTGAAATAATATTATCATCTTTAAGCAATTAATAGTAATTCTTAATATTTTCTATTATCAAGTCCACATTTATATTTCCCTAATTATTCCAACATATCCTGTACACTTGATTTGTTTAAATGAGAATTTAATCTAGGACCCTGCATGAGAACTGGTTATATCCCTTAAGTTTCTTTTAATTTAGGACCATTCTTTTGTTGTTGTTCTGACTTGTTGGAGAGACTGAGCCAGTTGCCCTGAAGTTTCTCACCTTGAAAATAATTTTTAGGTATGTTTAAGAAATATCTGAGAGAATCCTAAAGAAAAGAAAGAAAACAAGAAAAGTGAAAGCATTGATCTTTAGCTTGTACCTTAAAATTCTCTGTATTTGATATATTGAACCTAGAAATCAAATTTATTGTGAAAGAGACTGACACCTGTCTTTTTAGGTGCTGTGTGTAGTTTTCCTACAGATTGCTTTGGAAGCTGTCCTGCGTTCAGCTAGAAATTTCCTTTGTAAACAAATCAGAATCACATTAGCTCATTTATAAATTGCAGGGGAATTGTGGCCTGTACCGAGAGAACTTTGTGAAATTTACTTGACAGTTCCTGTTCTTGAATCTAGAGACTAATGTTAGTGCAGTTTTTTCAACATAAACTTAAGAGGATTAGAGAGGATTCACTCGTCTCATTGCAAGCAGTGATCCTCTGTGAAGCTAATGCCTTATTAAATGGACTTTAAGATGCCAAGTGTTTTTTTTGTGGTAGGGAATTAGAAGTCATTCAAAAAAGATTATAGTAGTATAGAGTTTAGTTATGGAATTCTGCAAAGTCAAATCAAGAGAATTTAAAAAGATATAGACCACTGAAAGTAGAGATAGGTAACAATATTTTTCACATTATAAAATTGCCTTTCTCTATCTCTCTAAACTACTTTTCTTAAAATAGGAAAGAGTCATCAGAAGAGCCGTAGACTGGGAATTAGAGGACTTTTCTTGTCTCCAGTATTAATCAGCTGAATGTTACTGGCAGTTTCCATCACTTATCTAGTGTTTTCTTTATCCAAAATGTGAAGGTTTGGCTAGGTGATTTCCATGTCCCCTTCCAGTTTCAGCCTTCTATGCATTTTTTATCTTTTTAAAAAATGCATATTCAACTCTAACCTATGTTTGCATGCAGACTTTCAGAAAAAGAAAGTGACAGTATAAAATGTTGAATTCATATTTTATGTGAAATGTGCTGATATAAAGTCAGATTGCAGTGCTTTGAGAATTTAACTGAAAGGTATAGAGATATGGCTATTCAAAACTTATTTCAGAATGCTAAGAATGCCCATTTATTATCATCTCAGTATGCTAGTTAAACAATAATTAATTTAGATACATTTACTCATTGAATCCTCAGAATAATTTTGTGAAATTGCTAATGTAAAATTGTCGTTTAGAATTCAGATTAAGTAGGCTAGTAGTGTAGTATGTTCGCAAAACCATGACAGACCTGTCTTTGAAACTTAATAGCCGTGTTCTCTTAGGAAACTTATGTAATCTCTCTTAAGCCTTTTCTGTAAATGGGGATAATAAAGATAATGCTGACCATGTAGGGTTGTGATCATTAAATGAACTACATTTGTAAACTACCTAGTGCCTGGCCTATGATAAATGGTAACTCTTATCTAATGACTTGCCCCAAATCACCCAGCGTAAATCAATGCATATCTTACGATGTTTTAAGTTCCAAGTAAAAGTCCCTACTAAAATTGACTTAAATAAGAACAGTTTGTAAACTCAAATCACAAGAAAGTGTATAGGTTCCAGCCATTTCCATGGTTGTTTATTGGTCATTGGGTTAATGGATGAAGTTCTAGCTTGGCTTTTCTGCAATCTTCTTAGCGGTCCCTTCATGGTCACAGGATGTCTGCTATAGCTCCATGTGTCAAATTCTCACACACTAATACTTAAAGGTGGGTAAAGCACGTGCTTTCTCTAGCATGCCTATTTTTAAAATCATGAAACACCTTCTAAAAAATACCCGAGACTTTCTTCTTGTTTTGTTGGCTAGATTTGGGTTACTTGTTTATTCCTAAGCATAGAGGCATGGGATTACCAGATTGGTTCACAATAGGGCACACTTCTCTGAATATGGGACCACACAGAAGGTGAGCATCTGAACACAATCTGAAAGCAAATGGAGAGGGAATTATTTGGGAAGTCATTTTACATCTGTTGAAGTGTCACTAGTAACTAGGCTTTCCAAATTGTGGAAAGTTCACATATTTGCCAAATATTATCATGTGTTAGCACATACACTACAGAAAAGAAATTGTTTCTGGAATTGCCATAGTCGGGACGGAATAAGTAAAATCTTACACTGCAAGTGGTCAGATGGATCTTGTCAAAAGGCAGAGTCCCTTCAAAATATTCTAGTCTAATATAGTCAACACATCATTAAAGAGGCATTTCATAGCACTGCATATGTGAACAGACAACCTGAGATATAAATTGATGGTATTTAATATCCAGTAGGGTGCCATCAAGAATGCATTTAAGAAATAGTGTGCTACAGTGACACGCAGTTTAGGGAAGTACTTAAATTTTGCAGTTGTATTCTTTATATACTACATATCACTGTATATATTCTACATCTATATACTTAATACTGTATATATTAATATACATAAGGTAATATGTAGTGTGTTTTATGGGCAATATAAGAGATTGCCAGGGGTAATTTAGACTGAGATTCCAACCTTTCTAGCTGATTCTCAAACCTAATCCCTGAGTAAGGTGAGAAACTACTAAATAGACCTTGGTGCTTGCTTTAGACATGTTTTTTCTTTATAAAAGTAGCCACAGAATTTTTTTGCTGTTGATTTGATTTAGTACCCCCTGAGAGAGCCCCTTATTACCTTGTTTATGTGTATAACAGAATTAAACCATGTAAAAATTTGTGGTTTTATTTAGGCATCTCAGTATAACTGCCACCAAAAATCTAAAGAGGAAAAATGCACATATGCTGATAAATACACCCAAACACCATGGAGAAGAATTCCTGTAAGTAACACATGTACTTAATCTCCTCCCCCATCATTTGCTATTTTGATGTTTCATTCCACTCTTTTTACTCTAATCTCTAATAATTTTGAATCTGCCATGGCTATTAATTTTTTTTCTTAGGTAAGCTGTTTCTTCTTGTCTCTTTGGTGTTTATGTGCTTTCTAAAGTTTCTCTTATGTGTCTTATGTAAGCAAATGTGCATTTAATAGCTTTTCCATTCTGCACATTGTAGCTCATTTTATTTGTGTCTAATCTCCTCTCATTGCATGTATTTATGATAGTAGTATTTCAACATGCCCTAAAGGAAACAGAAGTCCAATATGCAGTTGTCCCACATTAGCAGCATATATTACACTTTGAAAAATATACAATGTAGCATATTCTTTTTTGTTGAAAATTTTCAAATATGTTTTATTATTATAATTACTCAAATGTTGTGGGCATTAGAGGAAATATAAATGCATGAAGATATAGACAGTAAAGATTATGTTTTGGGCAGCCTTAGGAAATGATTTCTTCTAAACAGTAGAAAGAAACCACGTATTCCATGGCTGGTTGTTGTTTTTCAAAATGTTATGTCTCAAAACATATTTAAAGCTAAAAATACCCTACCGTCATTTAATCTGAATTCTTCAGAACACAGTTTAGGATGTACCCTGATCAGAGAATCATCATATGGCCATAAGTCGTCATAATTCTATTGTATGGTGCCAGGTAACAGACATTTCTTATTAAGAGAATGCCTAATGACTCGTCTTTCGCCTTATGTTTAGCGGAGGAATCTGAGTAACAGAAATGAGTAGGGAAATATAATGGTAACTTAGCTGTAGGCCTTTAAAGTTTATAAAACAGTTATTTCTTTTCATCTAACAAGTAACTATTTTTATTGTGTGCTCTGTATAAGCTACAATGGTAATTAATTTATTCAGTACAAGTTTGGCGATCTCTCATCCTCAGTGTTAGGCTTTTGAAGTAGAAGAGGGAAATTGGGGAAGGATGAATAAGGATTCCTCCATTTACAAGTACTTATTAAAGGAACTGGCAATGCATTGATATAGTTAAAGTGTCGTAAGTTCTACAAGGTTAAAAAGGGAAAGTCCACTTGAAAGAATCGAAGTGCTCAGTGAAGAAGGTGAAGGTAGTGTTTGAATCATAGAAAGCAAAAGATGCCCATAGGAAGAGGTGATATAATATTTAATATCAGTAGATGTGGAATCATCTCTGTTTGGAGGCAATTGCAAAATAGAAGATAGTGCCCCTTTCTTCTAGATGGAGGTTTGAGCTTTGCAGGTTTCTGCAGTTTCCCCATAGGGATATTTATGCCTTCTGTGTTACTAAGTAGTTTGCTGGTTCCATTAAGCATGAAAGGTTCCATTTTGCCATCCTCATGGAAGTCTTTATACCCTCTCTGGTTCCCTCAACCTCACTGTTCTCTAGAAACTGAGAATTAGTCTGCCTTGTAACCAGACAAAAGTAACTGGTGGAAAACAACCCCAGTACAGCCCAGAATATTTTCCTGTGTTGTTAGTTTTACCATGATCTTGGGTAAGGTGAAGTTGAGTTTCCCAGCCTAGCACCCTGAAAAGCCAGATTTCGGCTTTCCCTGTTATCTATTACTATGGGAATCATCTGGCTAACTACTTTTGTTTTATAGATAAGGTAACAAAAGCTGTGGGGAGATTAAGTGGCATATTAAAGTTTCCATAATTAATAAGTGGCTGAGCTAGTACTGTAACTTAGGGCTCTTGAATCAGCTAGTCCAAGGTTACGTCCCCCAGGAAAGCACACTGAGGAGATTTGGAGGATGAGAGGTTCTGGCAGATTAAAGTGGGAGGAATATCCTTGGCAAAAGGAACAGCACAAGTAAAGGCTGAGAGGTGGGAAGATGCAGTTAGGCAATAGTAATTACGTACTTTTGGCTGGAACACAGATGTATGTTTAGGGAAGTTAGTGTTAAAGCTCATTTTAAGGTATAATTCAAATTTTTAATCCAGGAGTTACTGGAAAAGTAGTTTTACTGAGTTGCATTCATTTAGTTAACTAAATATACAGCTATATTTATTTACTTAGTTAAATAATAGTAAGTTAAATATTGAGTTTATTCTTTGATTTTTTTTGTTCTTTGGACTTAATGGGATTCCTTTAAAGTACATTATTTTGGAAACCATTTACTATAATTGCAATGATTTTCTTTTCTCTTTTAAAGAAAATCATTGCAGTTAAAATAAATAAATATCACTTTTATTTTGGAAAAAAAATTTTGGGGGTGTCCTCTTGACAGTGTGTCAGTCACTTGAATATCGTGGAGTCTACCTCAGAGGTTTGTGAGGCATATGTGAGCATTTCCTCTGAACATTTCCTAGACATGAAAGAAGAAATCTGGTGGAAGGTGGAAAAGGATGGTGTAGAGGGTTATTGCCTAGAGGACTCGCTGGCAGCCAAAGTGAAAAGAAATATGAAAAATAAAATAAAAAGATAGATAGACATCTCATTTAGAACCTGTGGGAGGAAGGAAAGTGGTTGGCCACCAACAGCAGCAGAGCAACGAAACTAGGTTGTTTATTTATTTATTTTGTATTTTTTTGAAACTTTGAATGTATTGAGCCCAGTGTATATTTTCTTCATAGATTTGTCCAAGGGGATTTTGGTATCACCTAATGGCCGCAAATAAGAGAACCAACAGGAAATAAGAGGAAGAAACAAAGTAGTAGAACAGAGGAAAGGAAGAAAAGCAGATACTCACTTACTCATTCAGCAGATATTTATGTGCCTGCACTACTCCAGGCACTGTCTTAATCTGAGAGTGTAAATGCGAAGTCACAACCCTCAAGATGCTTACAGAAACCTCCATTAGGCCTAAATGATATTAATCTCAGTTTTCCTGCACACGAAGAAGATAAGACTAACAAGTGACTTGTGCAAGCACTTACACAGCTTGTACATAGCAGTCTCACGTGAGAAGCCAGGTTTTCTAACTTGTAGGTAACATCTTAGTTGCCTCCCTTTTGAGGGGCTGCAGGAAGTGAGGAGGCTAGAAGGAATAGAAAGGAGAAAAGGGTGATAGCTCTGGGATGGGAGGACATTAGGTGTGATCTCAGTGAGAGATCATGACAAGGACTTACTTTCCTGAGAGAGAAAAGCAGGTGCCCAGGTTTACATTGTGTTGTAGAGGTCTTAGCAGTCAATTGTGATAATCCATGGAAACAATTTTATGGCATTTAAAATTCCTGGAAGAAAAGTATTTATGTTTGAAAAGACAGTTTCCATAAAAGTATAAAAGAAAAATCCTCTACAAGTTAGGTTCAATCCAGTATTAGTAAGATGAAATCTATTGGTATAGTAGATTATATAAGTCATTTTCTCAGTAGAAGGAATGATAAAATTCAACACTTCTTCTTAAAGGAATAATAATAATAAAGAAGAATGCATGCTCTAAGGATACTTAATAAATGATATAGAGCCCAAAAATATATGCTTAAAAGGGAAACACTCTAAATGGGCTTTTTCCTTTTCTGATCCTTTTTGTTAAGAGGTAACAATATATTAAACCTATATCAAACAGAAAATAAAGAAGAAAAACAATTTAAGAACAACTTAAATTACTTAAATCATACTAACCACGGACAACTATGGTTAACATTTCATACATTATCTTCTGGACTACTTTTGTAATGTACAAATGTGTATGTGCATATCTATTTAAATAGAATTATTTTGTGCATATCTATTTTAACCTGCTTAGGTGGTGATGGTAGTGGTTGCTTTCATTACTGTTTTGTTTGATTTTTTTGCCAAGCTAAAATTGAAGGAATGCATTACCTTTAATCAGTAAAAAATGCATTTCCTTACAGGATGGTCCTTTGTAAGGTTCCTGAAATATATTACCACAATTTTTCTTCTGAAAGATTTAAACAGGTTTATACTGCCATCAACTAAGCATGATCAGAAAGCGTCTTGGTGGCTATAATGTTAACTTGTATGGTTCAAGCATTTGATGTCATTAGGTTATAAGAATCTGTGATTTTTCCTTCTAAAAAGAGAAATATCTGCTTCCCTGACAGGACAGCTGACTCCTTGACCAGGAGGGCTCCCCCTTGAGCCCCATGCCATCATTTCAGGTGGTACTGGGAGGCCACTCCTATTTATTTGTATATGATCATTCCTGTTATGTGATGTTTTCTTACCGTACAAATTCTGACATTCTTCCTCCTGCCCAAGAACCATTTTATTATGCTATTTTCTGCATATATCTAACCTCAGCCTCTATGTATACATTATATATTTCTATCCTCAGAATTCTGCAAGTGTCTTTCTGCCTGTAGTAACATTTGGCTTTCATGCTACAGGTGCTTTTGGTGCTGGAGCTATACTGATAGAGATCAAAACTGTTTTGGGTTTGATTTGGGTGTTATTTGTGAGATTAAACCCAGGAAGGTAATCATAATTAATCACCTGTTGGGTGCTATGCATTTAAGGTATGACAAAGGTTTCTGCTGCTGTAGGGAGCTGCCTTAAGACATTTTGTAGGCATATTACAAAGTGCTTATAAGTGTAAATATTCAAGCACAGTGTTTTCAGCATTGGGGGCCAGTATGAAGCACTTCTTACCGTTAGGATAAAAGGGATGTGAGACTGTTATCTGCTTGAGAAAAGAATGATATAGTGGTGTTAACTACTCTGAGCCCTGCATTATAAAAAGAGTTCCAGAATTGAGAATGAAAGGCTACTTTGGAACTGTGCTACCCCATAGAACTTTCTGTGCTGTCTGCTGCAGTAGCCACTAGCTACAAGTGACTGTTGAGAACTTGAAAATGTGGCTAGTGTGGCTTAGGAAAATAATTTTTAATGTTATTTAATTGTAATTAATTTAAATGTGAGTAGCCATATATGTCTAGTAGATACGATTTGGGACAATACAACTCTAGAGCTAATGATGTATACTTAGATGGATATGGGAAAGCCACCTGGGGCAATAAGTAAAGGCTTACCAGTAAAGG